GCACAAGAGTTGACGCGAGATATTGATCGAAAGTGTTCGGGTGGGAACATCATTATTAAACTGGATATGGCGAAGGCTTATGACCGATTGGAGTGGAGGTTTCTCTTGAAGGCCATGCGCTCGTTTGGCTTCTCCCACAAATCATGTGATTTGATTTATCGAAAAATTTGCAACATCTCTTATTCTTTTAACATCAACGGACTCCTGACCGGAAACTTCAAATCGTCTCGCGGGGTTAGGCAAGGCGATCCCCTCTCTCCTCTTCTATTCATCTTGGCACAACAAATTTTGATCATCAATCTTAATCGGAAAATGGTGACGAAACAGATTATTCCATTCAAGGTTGGTCGAAATGAAGAGGTGGTATCTCATCTCTTGTATGCGGACGACATACTTATTTTCTCGAACGGAGGGCAACAATCTATGCAAGCTCTTATGGAGGTTTTAAAATCTTACGAACGCTCTTCAGGGCAATTGGTGAATGGTTCTAAAAGCCACGTGTATGTGGGTAAGTGGGCTGAATCTGTGGGTCAGTCTATTGAACAATTGACAGGCTTTCGTCGTAAATCTCTGCCCTTTCGATATCTTGGCATACCGATTTATTCTGGTCGTACCAAGGCTGAATACTTCGAATATCTAGTACAACAAGTGCGTGGTAAACTTCAGGGGTGGCACGGTAAACTTCTCTCATTTGCGGGCAAACTAACGTTGATTAAATCAGTTATGGCAAGCATCCCGATTTATTCGCTAGCGTGCTCCAAAGTCCCGGCCTCTGTTCTTGTTCGCATAGAACAACTTATGTCTTCCTTCTTGTGGAGCTCGGGTGGAGAATTGCGGACCCAGTGGGTGAGGTGGAAAACGGTTTGTACCCCTATTGACGAAGGGGGTTTGGGTATTCGAGATCTCAAACAAGTCATGCGGTGCTTGCATGGTAAACTATTCAGGAAGGTGCTGCAAAATTCCTCATTATGGTCCAAATTTGCTCGGGCGAAGTATTGTGATAAACGAGTTCATATTACAAGGAGATCCGCCTCTCCATTGTGGATGTCGATTTGTAGTCATGCGGAGAGCTTAGCGGACTGTACTCAATGGTTGGTGGGCCGTGGTGCTATTAAATTTTGGACAGATAATTGGCTAGGAGAGGTGTTAGTCGGACCTTTACCGAGTGATAATAACTTGACAATTGCGGAAGCCTGGCCCCAATTTGCGGATCTGCTGCAAATTATACCACAAGAATGGCATGAGAAGATGAAGAAGATTACTTTAGAGATGAATAAACCGGATCGTTTGATTTTTACCCTCACTCAATCTGGTGAATTTTCGAGTAAGGAATATTGGCGTCATATTAATATGCCACGTTTGCGCGTCTCGTGGACAACTCGTATTTGGCAGCCTTACTTACCTCATCGAACTAGTGGATTTTTATGGAAGTTAATTCATCATGCATTGCCGGTTGATCAACGAATAATTTCTCGGGGTATTCCATTGGCTTCAAGATGTGTTTGCTGCCAATCGCCTTGCCCGGAAGATATTGCTCACCTATTTTTGCACTCAGAGATTGCGGTACGGGTTTGGAAGCACTTCGGCTCCCTTTTCCAAGTCCAAGATCGGTTTGAGTCGCCCAAACATGCTTTTTGCGTTTGGGTCCCGCGGCCATCCGATCTCTCTCTTTATGCCATGATTAGGAATTCGGTGGTATGTCACATTTTTCGTGAAATTTGGAATGCTCGGTGCCGGGTGGTATATGCTGATGGGGATATATCAAGTTCTGAAATTATTCGTAAGGTTTACTACCACACGCAGAACATGGTGGCTTTGCATCGTCCCAGGCAATTTTCTACCAAGATTCAAAGCCTTCGTATTCAAGCCGCTGGTCTCACGGTGGTGCAGCCGCCTTATAAACGGGGGGCATGGCACAAATGGGAATTTCCTCTGGCAGGAAAGTATACGCTTAATACAGATGGTTCGGCAAAAGGTGGGATGAGTTCAGGAGGCGGTATTATTAGAGATTCGAGGGGGAATATTGTTGCTGCATATTCTTCGTTTTTCGGGCATGGTACGAACAACTCTGCAGAATTTTTGGCTATAGTTTATGGATTAAGAATGTGTAAGCACATGGGGATCCTTCATGTTACGGTGGAGAGTGACTCGTTGTTGGCTATTAATGCAATTAGAACCAAGGTCGTTACATGGGAGTTAGAATATATTCTTCGGTTGTGCTTGCAGGAAGTGGATTCTTCTTTTCAATTCAAGCACGTAGTTCGTCAAAAGAATACGGTGGCGGATCGATTAGCTAATTGGGCGTATAATCACCAATCAAGTCAAGAATATTTTACCGAAATTAGTCTTCCAGTGGAGGTGCGAGCTGCTTTGATCAGTGATAGGTTGGGGATTGCTAATTTACGCCCCTAAATTGATTTGGACCAATGATGACATGTGGGTTTCTCAATTTGATAAGGGGTCGAATTGCAATTTTTGTATTGGTGAGCAGGAATATCTACTTACACATGGTTCTTATGCGTATTTGCACTTTCATCCACACATGGGGTTCTTGAGCAATTTCCGAAAATTTTCCATATTAGACATAGTAATTTTTGTTTATGTCTTTTTTAACCCGTTTTTTGGGCTTTTTTGTAATCGATTGTATAGGATTTTGATTGTCTCGTTTTTATTCCGTTCCAATTGTAGGGGTACTCTTTTCCTTGTGTAGGCCCATAAGGTTTTTAACGAGGCCCCCTTGTACTTTCACAAGTATTTAATGGAATAAAAACATTTTGGCCAAAAAAAAAAAAAAAAAAAAAAAAAAAAAAAAAAAAATTGATTATATATTAGATAATTGATTATCTAATAAAATTATATATTTTTGTAGTGATTTCCTGGAGTATCCCTCAACAAATGCGGATTTTCCCTTGGGGGTAATTGTTATAGTATTGTTTCATGAGGGGTGTAGTTGAAATAAAATATGATTTTTTTGTTCTAGATATTATTTATGAGGAGTTTTGTTGTAATATTTATCATTTAAAAGGGCGCTAAATGTGATCCGACCCTATTTACGGATGTAATATGTTAAAGGGTAAAATTCATTTTGCACCCCTGTACTATGAGAGATGCGTAATATATTAAAGGATTAAAGGGTATATCCCCCTCATGTATGGAAAACATCAAATACCCCCCTGCCATTAACTTTTTTCTCGAATCCGTTAGTCAAATCTTTGACCAACCGTTATAAAGATCCGTTGGCTTTTTATTGACGAAATTACCCCCAACAATCTCTACATATAGATTGTCTAGTTTTAGCCATTTTTTGACCCGATTTCCCACTTATTCAGCCTTTTTTTTTTAATCTTCTCAACATTTTTTTTTCACTCTTTTCACCCATTTTTTCTTTTATTCTTGAATTCTTCATTTCGTTTAATATTTCCCCCTAAATTTGTCCATTTATAATGTAAAAAAAAAAAAAAGTGAAAACCCCTAAAATATAAAAGAAATGCTAAATCAAAATAATACTCTAATGAACCGCAAACTAAAAACAAAGATTTACAGACTTTGCATAAGAATATCTTTTTTTAATCTGAGTTGGAGAAAATATACACTCTGCAAAAGAAAATAAAAACATTACGTTTTCATTGAAAATAAAAAATTCATTTAAGTCAAGCATAAAATGTCATACAGGTTGAGAAATCTATTACTATGGCACTAAAAAAATGAATAAAGTTGAGAATTCAAACAAGATATTACGTTTGCTATTTATATAGCAATGCAAAAACTTACATCTGTTGTTTGAAATTAAACATAAACCCCTAAGGTCACCGGGTTAAAGAACCCCCCAAAAAACTCAGTTCACCCAAATTTAATCCCGTAATTGGGAAAGAAAAGAAAACCTAAAACCAAAATTCGTACCATCTTCTAGGGTAAGCGTCCTTCGAGTATGCTCATACAAGGTTTTTTCAACAAATTTCACAAAAATGTATATGAATCTTTTAGGTGTTGTTTTCTGGCAAAATCGAAGAGCGGGAGAAGACCAAGAGAGAGAGAGAGAAAGTTGTACATAGAGTAAATGACGTGAAATTTTTTAAGAATTCTCTAAGGCGTGTAAAACAGCAGGGTAAAATAGTAATTGCACACTCAAATTTAACACTGTTAAAAGTTTGATCATTGACTATCAAAAGTAGGGGGCTATTTGATGTTTTCCATACATCAGGGGTAAACGATACATTTCTCATAGTACAGGGGTACACAATGAATTTTACCCTTTTATTAATTATGAATACATGAGCTATTTTTTTCGGTAATTAGATCATACTTCAGAGGGTTTCTAAGATTTATGATTTATTATTTTTTATTTGTATTTAACTTAAGGGTAAAATAAACCTTACAAGTTTTTGGCTTAATCCCACTTTATACCCTTAAAGTCGAGCATTTTGGTACTTTGCACCCTTGAAAAAATTTAATAGCACTTTGCATCATCAAAACACAATAAATCAGCCACCATACACCTTAATTGAATATTTAACTTAACAAGGGCAACTATATTTTATTGTTTTTTTCTTTACATGGTGGAAAATAACAAAGTAAAATTTTATTTTATTCCGTATCGGACATAATTTCGAGTTTTTCGAGTGTACAAAGTGCGAGAAAAAAATAAAAATCACACGAGTTGCTGAAAAAACTATATTTTCTTACAAAATAAAATAAAAACAACTTGGATCACCAAATTATTCGATTAATGGATCTATTATTGTAATTGGTAAAAAAATTTGTAGGATAATATAATTTTCAAATATTTGTAGATTTTCAAATAACTTGATAACAAAATATGACCAACTTTGAGAGGAGGTTTTTTTTTAATAGTTATGAATACGTGAGGATTTTTTTGGTAATTTGAATTTAGTTGAGGACGCTTTGGTAATTTATCCTAAAATCAAATGGGGATGCGGGTTAGGGATTTAGGTCAGCCAATTTTCCCCCAAATCTCTCCCGCCGGTTTTCACCACTGAGCTATGTCGAACTACTTTCCGACGGAGCTCCTCTCCGAAATCCTCGTCAAATTGCCAGTCAAAACCCTAATCCGATTCACCGCCGTTTCGAAATCATGGCGGTCGATTATCACCAGCGCCGCCTTCATCGCATCTCACCTCTCAACCAACAGTAAGAATCAAACCGTACTCCTCACGCGCTACGGTCTCGACAACAAGCTAGATCAGTTTTCATTGCTTGAAGTATCTGAAAATGGAGGTTTTGGTATCAATTCTTCAATGGTACTCGAAGCTCCATTCGGATTCCAGATCGAGTATTCCAGAGTAGTGGGTTATTGCGATGGGCTTGTGTGCTTATCGAATTGTATGTTCTTCCGTAACCCTTCGCAACGCGGTATTATTATATGGAACCCATCGGTTAGAAATCATATAGTTTTACCCGAAACCCACTATCAATCCGGAAGGGCCCCACATTGCCGTACTCGGTTTCGGAGTTGGTAGTCGTGCCCACGTTAAGGTTGTGAGGTTGGTTTATGAAGGCACGATATTCGACGGTTTTAGTGGTGGTGTTCCGCCGCAGGTCGAGATATTTTCCCGATACGTGGAGTTGGCGGAGGCTGATTCGTGGAGTTGATGTTGCTCTGCGTGCTTATTCAAATGTATACCGTCGAGCTTTCTTGTATGGGGTTGTGCATTGGCTAGCCAAAGAGCCTATCCATGATCGTAGTTCGGTTCTGGCGTTCGATATTGGTGATGAGGTGTTCGGTGAAGTAATGCTGCCGGATGAGTTGGCAACGGGTGCTTCAGTAGAGTTGGGTGTTTTCGTGATTGAGGAATCACTTGGAATTGTCGGTTCGACTAACGAGTTGTGTGACGTGTGGGTGATGAAGGAGTACCGTGTGAAGGAATCTTGGACTAAGTTATATAAGATTGATTTGGCGGAAGAGATTAAAAATTTAGTTGGGTTTTGGAAGAATGGTGAAGCTTTACTGATGTTACGTGATCTTTGGTTAGTTGTCTATAATCCGGAGACCAAGGAGACTAAGGATCTTGGATTCTACGGGAATCCGTATTCGTCGTATGTCGATATTTATGTGGAAAGCTTGCTTCTTTGGTGAATAGTAGCTGAAACAAACATGGTTGATGGGGATGAAAACGGACGTCGTTTTGCAGGCAAGACTTTAAATTATTCTATGCTTTGAGTTAGATACCACTTGATCTTGTTATTATTATCGAGTTGTTTTATATTTTTTGAATTGTTCTTTTTTTCTTTTTGTTATGACGAAGATTATTTCAGATCAGAATTGTTAGTATATAGTACAGAGTATTCTGAAATTTCATTTTTCCATCTAATTTGTAAATTACTGAAGATATTGCTATGGGAACACCTGAAAGAAGATTTATTGAGAAACAATTTGAGTTTATATTGGGATTCATGCCTTGTTGAATGCGGGGCCAGGTTTATATGAATTAATCCAACGGAGGGAGATTAAAATTTTGGGGGGTTCAGGTGCATCGGCCCCGAATTATTTTTTAGAGTAATTCATTAAAAAGCCAGCAAAAGGGTCAAAACTCATATTTCGGTTTCGGTTCGATTTCGGTTTTCGTTTCGGTTATTAAGTAAAAAGTACAAATATTTTTAAGAAATGATTGAAATAGTATGGTGATGTTCCTCCACAAGTGCTTTTCCATCAAATCAAACTACGGATGGAAAGTGTAAAAAATACCAACTATTTGAGGACAAATTTCGTGGCATAAAAAAATTAAGGTCCAAATTACAATAAAAATGTGTAATATAGAGACCAAAACTGTCATTATCTCCTTATATTTAGAAGTATGAACTATGTCACACTACCTATTTGGGGATGATTACACTTTTCGTCCGTATACTTGATTACTCATTCGTTTTTTGTCCCTAAACAAGTTGGAGTAACATTATTCATCGCTAAACATGCCATTTGCTGTTGTTTTCGTCCGTCCGTCAATTTGGCTAGTTAGTTTGGATGGAAAACAACAAGTGCTTTGCACATGATACGCAAGAGAACCCCCCTCTTCAACTTCCGATTGCATCTTGAATTAGAACCTAACTTGCACTTTTTCGAATCCCTAATTCATTCGTATACTACCTCTTTGAATCCTTAAATTGCCTCCATAACCCCCTAAACACAATTTGTAATGCAATTTGTACTTTGAATAATGTGTTTCTTTGAAGGGAATATATTAATTAATATATTTTGGGTATGTTGAACGAAATTTATAATATGTTAAGCTACTTAACTAGAATTCTTTATTTTGTTAATTACATGTTATTGATTTAATGGATTTGCAATTGTCTAAACTTTCATTTAGATTGCCTACCCTTCTGTGTTTATAAGGCTATATATATATATATATATATATATATATATATATATATATATATATATATATATATATATATATATATATATATTTTGGTCTGATACCATTATCGACGAGGTAAAACCAAAATCATACAAAGACCGTGACGATTTGTATTTCTTTTACCAAAATTATTATCAAAAACCTAATGGCTTCAGTAACCGTTTTAAATGGGTCGGATACCCACGGGTAGCTAGCGGATCGGGCATTTTTACCATCCCTAGTTCCTAATAGGGCAAATCCCACTTTCCCCTCTTAGAATTTGGTCCGGTAACACTTTTCTCCATTCTATTCTCGATTGCATCGATTTTCCTCCCTGCACTTGAAAATTTGTCTTAATATGGCCCTCACGGTTAGTTTTCAGACATTTGTTCTTAACACCGTTCGATTCAAGGTCTGAAAATTGCAACAACGCCACCCCTCCAAGTTTCAGAAAAAAAAATAATAATAAAAAGAAAATATTAAATAATGAAAAAATGGGTAACTGGCGGTTGAGCCCTATGTGATCCTTCCCCATGTCTTGAATTTTTATGTTCTTTTTTATTCTTTTTCTTTTTTTTAATGTTATTTTTAATAATAATTATTTAAACTGAAAGGGGTAGCGTTTTTTTGCAATTTTCAGACCTTAGATCAAACGGTGTTGGGGTAAAGAGTCTGAAAACTAACAGCAAGGTCCACATTAAGACAATTTTTCAAGTGCAACTTGCAAATCGATGCAATCAAAAATAGAAGAGGGTAAAATGATACCGAGCCAAAGTACAATGACGGAAAGTGGAATTTTGCCCTTTCTAATATTATTCACAACATAAACTCGACGCAGATTTTCCCTAGTAGTACCTATTTTATCTTTTTGGTAATAAAGGAACCCGCAACCAGCCATATAGGTGTATTGGGTAAATTTACACTCCCGTATAATAGCTTGATACTAGAGATGTAAACCACACTAGTCTAACCATATGTGACAAACTCGACCTAACGACCATTGACAAGAACGAATTAGATAGTACAGTCGAAAGTTTTACTTCCGGCTAGATATACAGTATATACTAATCTAATCTCTTGTCTCCTTTTTTACCAGTTTTTTATCTTCATTCTTCTCCGTCACATTCTATCAAGCCTTTTTTTTATCGAAATCATTTCCATTCTACGAGAAAAATAGCATGCATCAAAAAGTAAAGGCTAAATACGCAAAATTGCAAGTTTGCAACTATAATGAAATTTGGAAAGGGGATAATCCCATTTTTAAATTTGTAGGGGGAAAGTGCGAAAACTAGAAATTTCTAAGAGGCGAGGCGCATTTTGTTCTTAAAAAAAACATAAATAATTTAAGATCTTGGATGGCATGCATGGCGTTCGATTTCATCTCCATCAACGATGTTTTCCAGCTACGTACTCCTCACCGAAAAAGCTTCTCCGGTGTTTTAGACTTTCACAATGCCTCAAATGCAACTCCAATGAATTCCACCTCGATAGCCCACTAAACAAGAGCAAACTTTCGGCATAATGATAAACATACCCGTTGATTCCAAGAACCTTCGGCATCTTAGTTTCCGGATTATAGACAACTAACCCATACCCCTTTACTTCAAGTAAAGCTTCACCGCTCTTCCAAAACTTGAATAGGTTTTCTATCTTTCCAATCAAGTGATCAATGGTATATAACTTAGTCCAAGATTCTTTCACACAGTACTCCTTCATCACCCACACATCGTATGCATCATCTCTATCGTGTTTGACCACGCCAAACGATTCTCCAATCACAAGAATGCGCAAATGCGCTATGTCTTCGCTTGCCAACTCATCTGGCAACATTACTTCACTGAATACCTCATCAACAATATCGAATGCCAAAATCGAATTACGAGAATTATAAGCATCGATAGGTTCGAATCCAAGCCAATGCACAACCCCGTTAAAGAAAGCTTGCCAATCCATAACCGTAAGAGTAACACTAACCCCCGTCAACCTCCGCCACCTCCATTTATCATCGGAAAATACCTCAACTTGTGGCGGAACAATTAAACGGAAATCATCGCCGAGGTTATTGTAAATATAAACCAACCTCACAACCTTAATGTAGGCATGACTAGCAACTCCAAACCCTAGTGCAACACTGTGATCTTCCTCTGGATTGATATTGGGGAGCGGTAAATGTAGATGGTTTCTAACGCATGGGTTCCATATAGTAATATGGCTGTGTTCAAGTTTCCTGCTGGTCTCGTCGGATAAGCACAGAAGCCCGTCGCAAGAGCCCACTATCTTGTAATATTCAATCCCGTCGTCGAAGGGAACTTCGAGTTGTGAAGAAGAACTGACGTCAAAGGGTACGTTTTCAGCGACTTTGAGCAACGACAGTTGATCTAGAATGTTGTGTCGATCGCCGCGGATGAGGAGGAGGAGGGAGTCGTTTTTACCATTTGAGAGATGCGAAGAGATGAAATCGGTGCTGGTGATAATCGACCGCCACGATTTACAAACGGCGGTGAAGCGGATTAAGGACTTAACGGGAAGTTTTTGGAGGATTTGAATCTGGAGCTCTCTCGGTATATAGTCCGACATGGTTTACTAATTATGAAACTGCAGCGAACAAAACCGAACCGAAAGAAAACGAAACCCCAAAGTGTAGTAGATATTTAGTGAAGTTGACACAACACTATATTTCTGCCTTATATAGAAGAACCTATGAAAGATGTATCAGTAATCAGAAGGTTTTGTATTTATTGTTTCACCAAAAAAACATACGTCCTTTGGTGATACATCTTCTAACGCGTCTCATTTGAATTTGTGCAAACTAAATAAATCGTTTGGCGCCCCCTTTTTTCAGTTTTCCAACGAATGATTAATGAGGGGAAGTTGCTTAAAGAAAATGGTTACATATAAATTGCACCCATGTACTATCATCAGTGTCGCATACACCTCATGTATTATAAAATGCGACACAGTGGCCCCTGTTGTTAAACTATGTTAAAGAATCTGTCCATTTTCATAGTTGATTGACCATTGCACTAGATGTTAGACAATTTCAGACGAAAATACCCCTATGTTGTGTATAAAAAATGTGGGGAAAATTACAATTTTCGTCCTCAAACATTACCCACTTTTGCAAAACTGTCCCTAAACATTTTGGAGTTACAATAGTCGTCCTTAATCATGCCATTTTTTAACAAAATCAGTCCGCCATTTACATAGCCAGTTAAGTTGGACGGAAAATAAACGTGCCCCTCACATGACTTTGAAATACCAACCCCCTTCTTATAAACATGGAAAATTCCCTAATTCAATTCTGAATCAACATCACCGAAATTCTCTCCAAACCCTAATTCTAATTTTGATAGGAATCAACATCAGTATATGATTAGTATATGATATGAAATAACACCAAAAGATTTGAGAAACATTTGAAGCGTTCCTTGCTTGCTAGTTTTGAGGTTTATGGAGGAGAAATATCGGTCAAACAACACGGTAAGTTTCCCCAATTCGATTGATTTTTCTATTAATTGATGAGTTGTTGGGAATTTGCTCACGATTATACGTTATTCTTTGACTTTGGTATAGAAAATGAGCAGAAATTCCAGTAATAACTATATAGACTCCTCTAATGATGAACAAAATCATGGAGAAGATCGACAACCATATTTACGACGTAAATGTGGCCTTGAGCTGCCATTAGTTACATCATGGTCAACCAAAAATCCTGGGAGAAGATTGCAGGCCTGCCCAAATTATGGGGTAAATTTAATTTTATTTTTGTTATTTGTGCAATTTTGGGAAAATTGCATTTTTCGTTCTCATACTTTACCCATTTTTTCAAAGCTGTCCCTAAACATTTTGGAGTTACAATAGTAGTCCTTAATCATGCCATTTTTTGACAGAACTGGTCCGCCGTTTATTTTTGCAGTTAAGTTGGATGGAAAATGACATGTGCCTCTCACATGCCTTCAATATACAACACTACATGAAAATGGACTTTTAACAACACGCATTGCGTCTTGTTAAAACAGATTTTTCATAATTAAAACATGATTGAAATTCGAAATTATATAAATTCCAAAAAAACAAAATCGATATATATTGTTTTAAAATATTTTGAGAAATATTCTTTAAACAATTGAAACATTGTTTTAAAAAAATGAAATATTGCTTTCAAAATCAAGATTTTCGGATTTCAAATGAAAACATTGTGTCAAAATAAAATAAAAATTCAATCCGAATAGGTGGGATAAGAAACCTCAATTTCAATCTTCACCCTAATTTAATAATGCAAAACTCGATTATAAATTATTTCAAAATATTTGTAGAAGTATTGTCTAAAATAATAATATAATGTTTTAAAACCGGGATTTCTTGAATCTGAATTAAATAAAATGAAATCTTATCGGAATAGGCGGAGTAAGAAAACTCCATTCCAATTTTCACCCTTATTTAATAATCTAAAACTCGATATGCTTTTTCAAAATAAATTCAGAAATATTGTTTAAAAAATCATAATACTGTCTAAAAAATAATATTGTTTTTTTTTTCGGAATTTTTGGAAATTGAATGAAAATATTATTTTAAAATAAAATAAAAATTCGATCAACCTAGGCAGGATAAGAAAACTCATTTCCAATTTTCACCCATATTGAATGATTTAAAACTCGACATATTGTCTCGCAATTGGGATTTTTGGAATTGACTGGAGGTGAAAATTGGAATGGAGATTTCTAATTCTCCAATTCCTATTGGGTTCTTATTTTGGTTTGAAACGATATATTTAAATTGAATTCCAAAAATGCCAATTTTGGAACAATATTTTAAAATTTTAAACTATATTTTGATTTTTTAACCAATATTTCCGAAACAAGTTGATTTTTTTGGAATTTACGTGATTTCTGATTTTATAGAAGATTTGAAAAAATAATAATTATAAAAAATATGTTTTAACCAGACGCAATGCGTAAATGAGCAGAATTCCCAGTCTGTAGTGTTGTAAATTGAAGGCATGTGAGAGGCACATGCCGTTTTCCATCCAACTTAACTGCAAAAATTAACGCCGGACCAATTCTGTCAAAAAATGGCATGATTAAGGACTACTGTTGTAACTCCAAAATGCTTAGAGACAGTTTTGAAAGAGTGGGTAAAGTATGAGGACGAAAAATGCAATTTTCCCTGCAATTTCTATGTCCAAATATTTTTTATTTGTTTTCTATAATTTTTTTTTACAGACAAACGAGAAGTGTGATGTATTCAGATGGTGGGATCCTGAAATGTGTGATAGGTCAAAGAGAATTATCTCTGGGCTACTTAGAAAAATCAACAAATTGGAAAATGAGGTTGCAATGTACAAGGAAAATGAAGAGAAGTCAGGCAAAAAAACTTTGAAGTATAAAAAAAGGTGCAAGAAGTTGGAGGATTTGGTTGCAGTTCATAATAAAAGGATGAAGTTATGTATTGTGGCTTTGAGTGTTTTTATTTTATTGATAGGTATTGTAGTTATGAGTATGCAGATGGGAAAAAATGCACTGTTGCAGCTTAGGGATTAGAATGTGTTGTTTCTTTTTGAAAGTACTTACTGTAATGTGTAATGGCATTTTGTTCTGTTAATTTGGAAGTTCTTTTATGTAATGAGAATTAGTATTTTGAGTAGTGTTTGTACGATGTTTATGCAACAACATTAAACATAATTGAAACAACAAATAAAACTGTCATACGTATAACCATAAGCTCAAAATACCATAAACTCAAAAAAGTACACTGAAATACATTAGTTTCAAATAGAAACAGAACATTGTCAAAGATCCATAAGTAAGTCAATACATAAGTCTCCAATGTGAAATTACAAAACATTGAAGTCTCAAAATAATCCAAGCCCAAAATAATCCACAAACATGAAGTCTTCAAAGTGAAATTACAAAACATTGAATTGGAAATCGAAATAACAAAATAAGTGATCACTTCTTGTAATCAGTCCTGAAAGTAAAATTGAGGCAGATTTGGAAACATGTTGAGTTAGAATTGGATTTGAAGCAGGTTGAGAGGGAGATGGATTTGATGTAGGCTGAATTGACATAGGAATCCTGGATGATGCATTTTGACTTGAAGTTGGATTGGTTACATTTGTTAGACTTGACCTTAAATTAAACATTATTATAAAATTCATGCCTCATTTCACAATCATGGGAGCATTGATGAATGGGGAAGATTTGCTGGCCTGAAATAAGCCCATTATTGCTCTTGTATTCCTTTTTATATTTGCTTTCTTCTGAACCTGAGGCCTCCTCACCTGCATAAACACAAACATATTTTTTTTTAAATTATGAAATGTAACTATAAAAAATAATAATACAAAAAGAGACAGTGTAATCACAATTCTCAAACCTGTAATTTACTCCTAGTTGAATTATTTTGTTGTTGGATTGGTGATTTTGTAGATACTGAAGCGTGAGTTGACACAAATTCATGTAAGTTTGATGCAGATCCAACTTCATCTCTTGATCCAGCTGCAGCTCTTGGTCCAAATGCAGCTCTTTGTCCAGTTGCAGCTCTTGCAGTCTTCGATCCACTTGCTTGTTGATCATGCCCATGTTCAATTTCGGGTAATGAACTCTATCAGCCTCATCTTCACTCCCATAAGTACTAACAAAGTCATCATCACTGCCCACACAATCTGCATCCCCATGTTCATTTTGCATTTTATCAAACATTTCATCAGTTATGAACTCATTGGCTACAGATTTTCCCTTCTCTAGACCAGCAAACTCAACATCAGGATCCACAAAAGATTCAAATAATTTGTCATCCTCTTCCATATCAAAGTCAGATTCATAAAATACATCATCATCTTCACTAGATTCATCCTGGTCACCTAGTTTATCATCACCATTGTCTTGATTCTCCTCCATACCCTTTACCCCTTCCGAAATAAGATGTTCAATAAAAATCTCAATTTCAAAGTTTTTTGGAATATATTTTCTCATATCGAACACATCAGCATCTGTGCTGTGAAAATTTGTTTACATTGTATACTAAAGTTTTTTCCATATTTAACCCAAAACTTGAGAGTACTATGATCATTGTACCCTAACTCCTCAGCAAAACCCCATACATCAAGCATACTAGTTTGATCTGCATCAACAAGATCAAAATAGTCTACAGCACCCCCTAAATACTCTCTTTTAGGTGTATGCTTCATAATCCCACCATGCCTAATTTTCATTGTAAAAAGGCTATCGTTCCCCATTGCAACTACATTTTTTATAGAAAAGAAAAACACAAAACAAACAAACAAAACATCTAATCAGCATATAAATAGACATCACACCACCGAAATTAGCAGAAATATAACCAATAGACAAGAAAATTTACCATAATTCGGAGTAAAATCCAGACCACCGTTGGTTCTTCGAGCCATTTCTCCTTTTACCTCGTTTCTTCTACAAAAATCTATTGCTTCTCCTTCGAATCTCCTGGAATTCGGGTTCCCCCGAAACCCGAAATGATTTTTCTCCTAATTTTCGGTTCAAAAGATCGTGTTCCTTCTCCTTCAATTTCTAAAGATTTTGGGTTCACATTTAGGGTTTTCAAATATAGAATTTGGGGAAGAGAAGTTTAAGTTTCAATGTTGTAAGACGTATGTTTAAGATTGTAAGAGTAGCTCAGTAATTGGTATTTCAAAGTCACGTGAGGGGCACGTTCATTTTCCGTCCAACTTAACTGGCTATGTAAACGGTGGACCGATTTTGTTAAAAAATGGCATGATTAAGGACGATTATTGTAACTCCAAAATGTATAGGGACCGTTTTGGAAAAGTGGGTAATGTTTGAGGACGAAAATTGTAATTTTCCCAAAAATGTGCCTATTTCTTTCTCTCTTGTACTCAATTTTTTTTTCATATTTCTTCCCTAATTTTATTTTCCATAGCCTAAAAATTTCACCCAACTTTTCTGGAAAAAATATATATTCTGAAAATTATTTATAATTTGCTTTTAAATTTATGAAATTTTGTAATTATGTTCCCAGAATAAAAATATCATCCACAATTTATGACTTTTTGTTTTGGATAAAAAAATTTAAATTCTTTTTAGAATTCTGAAAAAAAAAACTGAACTTTCATCCTAAAAATTCTCGATTTAAAATATTTCCTGTAGTTCTAATTCTCAAAATTCATGCATTTCATTTTTTACGTCCAAACACTATAAGGCATATTTTTCTAGAACCACTTGTCAATGCCACCGGAATGTTACGTAATAAAGTAAAAAATTGGTCAAATAATAAAGTCAAAAAATGTCTATTTCTATCATATAAATGTAAGGGTTGCTACATAAACTAATCGGTGTTAGATATTTGAGGTTTGACCACTAAGTCCAGTTGCTATTTTGACGCATTTTGTAGTAAAGTGAGGTATATGCGACACTAATGGTATTACAGGGTGAATGTTGTGTTAAATCCTAATGAAAAATCCCTTACAACCTAGTTTGGTGGGAAGATTAACTCAAATTAAATACACAATAACCTTTAGTTTGATGTTTGATTAACTCAATATTTTTTTATTTTTCAGGTTGACCCAGAAAAGTTATTTTTATTATGGACTTAAAGGTGGGTCCCATTAAACAATTGCGCCTTCATACAATCCATTAATAACAAAATTGTTCTTTCTAATTTCTTCTCTCTTTCACAGTGCCAAATTTCATTAACTTAAGGAATACTAAATTAATAATATTTAAAAATAAGAGTGAAACAAATTTGAAAAAATATATCATTTTGATTTTTTTTAGAAAAATAATAAGAGAAAACTTAAAAATAAAAATAAAATATTTATTTGTTGACCAAATAAATTGAAAATAGGCTGCTTATAATGAAAATAGAGAACCTCCAGTGAAAATAGACAATTTATTTGGAAAATTTAGACCGACAATATGCATCTTAGACTGAAAATGAGTATTTAGATCGATGAAAAAAATCTTTTATAGTGTGTGGTTGGCGGAAATTAGACGGTCGGCGATATGAGACTGGTAGGGGGAGACCGAGGAGTGGAAGAAATTCCGGGGAACAAATGTGGTTTTGAGGATCGATGAAGTGGATGGGAATAATGTATTTTCAGACTAAAATGTTTATTTTCATTATAAGCCCTCTAATTAAGTTGTCCGAGTAATAAAATGTGAAAATACGACCGTCTTGATTTATAATGGCATCACTGCTCAAGGATGTTTAACAAACTCTTAATTTGAAAGAGTATCAGTGTTTAGGGATGTTTAACTAACCGCTCCTTAAAAAATGTGTGTGTCTACTCTCTCTCTCTCTCTCTCTCTCTCTCTCTCTCTCTCTCTCTCTCTCTCTCTCTCTATATATATATATATATATATATATATATATATATATATATATATATATATATATATATATATATATATATGTTTAAACTGTATTTAACCCTAGTTTTTTTTTTCAATACACTAATTAACAGTACTCATTTATGAAAAAAGAGTTCCGATGATTTTTTGTCATTTAATTTAATTTAGAAAAACTATTATTTATAAAAAAAAATTAGAAAACTGTTCTTTTAAATTTCATTTTGAATCCTTTTATTCGCGAGGAGCTTCAAACCAAGCTTAAATTTCATAATCAATCTCAAACGAATCAAATCATCTATTCTACTTTCATTTAAACTTTTCCAAACTGAGAAAAATCAAGCAGAAAAAAACTAGGGTTAAATACAGATTTCATATCAATCTCAAACGAATTAAATCATCTATTCTACTTTCATTTGTACTTTTCCAAACTGAGAAAAATCAAGCAGAAAAATACTAATTAACTATCGCCAACACAAAAGAAAAATATATGTGCATTTCAGCGTCCAAAATAGGCAGAGTTGCATTAGTGAAGTTTATTTTCTAGTTCGTCTTTAATAAATTGAGCAACATAATTCAATTCCACGAGTCCGACAATGAACAAGATAAAATTAAGGGCAAATTACAGCCATCATTGGTGCGGTAAGAGCAACTCCAATGGGGTATTAAATGGAGTATCAAATGATAAAATTTCCATTTTAATTCCCAAAACTTAAAATATTCCACTCCAATGGAGGCATAAAATTGATGGTTAGTTTGATACTCAACCTCCTGGAGGTGCAAAATGGATCCCGGAAAATGAAATATCAAAATCGTAACCACCCAATCAACCTATCATGAGTTGACACGTGTTATTTAAAAATATAATTATTCATATATTTAAATTTTGATAATCTATTTGATGTCTATGGTTGAAGTAAAAAACTTTTAAATGGGTATCAAAATAATACTTGTCCGAAGAAAAAAAAAAAAAAACCCTCTTGTTTGGGTGATTACAACCGCCCCATCAACTATGAATATTCTTACACGTTCACCCACTTATGGTGTCAAATTCAACACAATCTTCTAGATTATGTGGAATGTTCGCTAGTGTGTGCGCATTTTGTGCACAATAGCAGTTTGTACTCAACCACAATCTGATATTTACAAGTCAAAAGACGCATCTCATGATCATTTTGTTTCAAAATGTGGAGCTCGAATGTGGTAAAATGAGTACAAAATTGAGAATATTCCACATAATTTAGAAGATTCCACTAAATTTAACACCGCAACGGTGGGCGTTTAAGAAAATTCACAGTTGAGGGTAGTTGTAATTACCCAAACATGAGGGATTTTTTCCTAATTTGATCTTACTTCAGAGGTAGCCGTAATGTAACTTAAAATTAATGCAGAGTTCCCCTAGTCCCTCACTAGAATAAATTAGTACCTCACTAGAATAAATAAAAATAAGGCGAAAGTTTTCCATGAATAAACAGTATTACTAATGAATCAAATATGCAAAAAAATTGAAATTCCAATAATTTCAAGATTAATCGATATCTAAACCAAAACATAAACACACGAACAACTTGCCTGCCAATGCCATCAAGCTATTCTTCCCCCAAACGCATCTCCATTCGATTCGGTTTCTCCTCGATCGGATCTCCACTGACACGTCATCATCTAAAGCAAGAGCAAGCTTTCGACGTAATTATCAACATAGAACAACATCGTACACCCGTAGATTCCAAGATCCTCACTTTGCATCTGCTTAGTCTTTAAATTATAGACGACCAACCCAAGACTACGTAACGCGAGCAAAGCTTCGCCACTGTTCCGAAATCCAACGACTCTTGCACTTACTTCGACGGTATACATCTTCGTCCAAGATTCTTTCACACGGTACTCCTTCATCGCCCACACATCCCACGATTCGTAACCTTTATTATATTTGACCACGCCGAGCGACTCCCCGATCACGAAAATGCACAGCATTTTTAAACACTCGCTCGCCAGACAATCCGGCAACATTACTTCGCCGAACACCTCGTCCCCGACATCGAATGCCAGGAACGAAGCGCGACGATCGACCGGGTTGAGTGCTAGCCAATGCACAACCCCGTTCAAGAAAGCCTGACAGTAAGCCTGACAGTAGCCAGTTTTAAGAGCCCGCAGAGCAACTCCAACTCCACCACTCAGCCTCCGCCAACTCCGTGTCTTGACGGAAAACACCTCAGCACCAAAATCATTGGGCTTATAAACCAACCTCACAACCTTATGGTGGGCGTGATTCGCGTCGGATCCGAACCCCAGCACGACCATGTGGGATTCTTTCGGGTTGATAGTGGGGGTGGGCAAGACGAGATGAGTTCTAATAGATGGGTTCCATAATATCACGTCCTTCGGAGAAGAACGTGCGGAGCAAGTTTCCAACAGGCACACGACTCCGTCGCAGCAGCCGACTATCGGGGAACATGCGGTACGTGATTTTACGGGGAATTCGAGATGCGAGGAGGAATTGACGGAAAGGGCTCCGTTTTCGGCGACGAGGTTTAGCAACGAAAAGTGTTCTCGCTCGTCGGTTTGATCGAAACGCTTAAGGAGGATTTGGGTGTGGTTTTTGCCTTCTGAGAGATGTGATTGGATGAAGTTAGGGCTTGTGATAATCGACCGCCATGATTTGCAGACGGTGGTGAATCGGATTAAGGATTTGACCGGCAGTTTTTGGAGGATTGCGGACTGAAGCTCCGCCGGAAAGTAGTCCGACATAACTCACCGATGAAACTGGAGCTCCGCCGGAAATTTGCTCAACGCGCTGTGTTTTTGGAGATGAATTTTCTAGGGTTTTTGTTTTTTTTTTTTTGATAAGTGAATTTTCTAGGGTTTTATTAAGAACCCTGAACTAGGCTTTGTGTAAAGGATAAAATACGCTTCAACCCCTATAGATGTTTTATTTTTGCAATTTTCACCCTAAATTTTTTTAAAAAGGATGCATATTATTTTTGGACAAAATGCACTTTGCCCCTATAAATTAATTTCTGTTTTTCGCAGTTCTCCACACCCCCTCCCCAAAAAAAAAAAATTTAAGATGGACATTCCCCCCTCAAAAGATTTTATTGATTGCACTTTGCCCCATAAGCCAATTTATGGAGGGCATTGTGCAACAAAAATAACATTTCAAAGGGGCAATGTGCAAACATGGAATGTTTTTAAGGGGCAACTTGCAATAAAAATAATGTTTAAAGGGACAACGTGCAACAAAAATCATCAATTCTGATGAATAATCCATCGGAATTTTGCTATCCGGGAAATGTGCAACAAGAATAATATTTTGAAGGGGGGTTTTCACTTTTCAAAATTTTGACGGGGTAAAGTGCGAAAATTACAAATATACAGCGGGTGATGTGCAATTTAACCTATTATTTTGGTTGCACTTTGCCCCAAAAATCATTTTTTGGAGGGTATTGAGCAACAAAAATAACATAAGGGGCAATGAGCAAAAAAATAATGTTTTTAAGGGGTAACGTGCAACAAAAATAATCACTTACGATGAATAATCCATCAAAGTGTTGCTATCGTAACATGCACTTTTCAAAATTTTGAGGGGATTAATATCAATACCTCATAATGATGTGGCATTTAATAAAGAGTGACGTGAGAGAGAAGAGAGTGTGGTGGTGGTGGGGCCCCTAATGAAAATGAGGCTTGTACGCCTTGGCCCAGGGCCGGCTCTGCATATATTAATAGTGGATTGTGAAGGACCACCGAATAAATCATGCGATAAACACACAAAAGCTCGAGCTCGAAAAACTCAAATTCGAGTTCGACCTTTTTTTTAGTCAGCTCAGCTTGTTTACCCCCTACACCTAACGGATAGTCGAATATAAGTCTTTAAAGAACACCACATAATCTGTACCGAAAAAGAACTATAACTAGACGAGTGACTGCGATTACAGACCTCTCAAATGACTTCCAATTCTGTCACGTGCAACTTCAGAAAACCACAACAAACTAATTACCAATAAACCGTAACTCTTGGATATAATAATGTTGATGAAACTGTTGTAGTGATATTAATACCACGAAAACAAGAAGTAAACTGCACGAATGCATATCAATTTTAGAATCTCTACAGCATATAAAGGAGGGATGAGTCTTAAACGACACGAGAAGTTTGTAAAGAAATTCGACATTTCTCATTGTATATGATTCAATAAATCCCAAATTCTTGAATTAAAAAATAAAAATAAAAATAAACAGAGAAATTGGAAGGAGATTAGATACTTTCTATGCAGCATATAAGAAATCACAACCCGACGACCCAACCGGGATCCACAATGCGGCAATCGTAGCCTTCTGAACCCCGAATACCGTACAATCATCCGACAAAGGACAAGTGAAAAAGTGATTGAATCCAACCAGCTTTAGTTCAATAATGAAATGTTATCATTTCAAAATTGACAAAGATATTGCAAGAATTGAACAAAATTGAACACGTGCGGTTAAGTTTGACGGAAAAATTAACAGAAGCTACCCCTAAATCACAAGGGGGTTATGTGCTTAACGGAAGCTACCCCGTAAACCACAAGGGGGTTATGTGCTGATATTACGAACACAAGGGGGTCATCTGTAAACGCTTGTAACCACATGAGGGTTAAGTGCTATTTACCCAAGAAAATAATACTGAGCTTAAGCATAATAAGTACCCTCACTAAAAAAATATTTTAAAATTTTCTTTTATGTTGATATTAGATTATCTGATGTTAAGTCTGACTAATGTTGTCAATGTTTTTCAAAAAAAAAAAAAAAACATATATGTTTATCAAATTTGAACGCATAAGCATATTCATAACTCAGATCACCGGGGAATAAAAAATGTCAAAGGCGAAATACATAGAAGTCGATACGATAAAATCATTTCACGAGTTCAACCGATAATATATGTAAATAAAAGTCAATACTATTGGATCAATTCGCCGCCAATTCTAAGCAAGAGCAAGCTTTCGACATAACTATTAACATAGAAGCAACCAGATCCATAAATCCCAAGATCCTTCGTCTGCCGAGTATCTGGATTATAGACCACTAAACAAAACCTAACCGAACGATCCGTATACGGCGCGATCCCCTGCCTATATAAGAACAGTAAAGCTTCACCACTCTTCCAGAACCCGATTACTCTAGATACCACGTTCAGCAAACGAATCGTGTACAACTTAGTCCAAGATTCTCTCACACAGTACTCCTTCATCACCCACACATCGCACGACGTATTGCCTCTATCGTATTTAACAGCTCCCAGTGATTCCCCAATCACGAAAATACGCAACATCAGTAAACTTTCGTATACGCATGCAGCTAACTCGTCTGGAAGCATTACGTCACCGAGTACCTCATCGCCAACATCAAAGGCCAGAATCGAACTACGTCGAAAACTATCGTCTTCTGAAAGCCAATGCACAACCCCGTTCGAGAAAACCGATGGACAAGTCGTAGACGGAAAAACATGCGGAGGAATTAAATCAACTTCGCCCCACTTTCGCCAACTCCACGTCTCGAGTGAAAATATCTCAACCAGTTGCATAAAACTTAAATTAATATCGTTGGGTTTCATGCAATAAACCAATCTTACAACTTTGTAAGCATGACTAGCAACTCCGAAACCCAGCACAACAAAGTGGGGCGTTTTCGGATTGATCGTAGGGTTTGGTAAAACTCGATGATTTCTAACGGATGGGTTCCATATGATAATACTGCATTGCGAAGAATCGCGGAACTCGTCGTCCGATAAGCAGATCAGACCATCGCAAGAGCCAACTATTCTGAAAGTTTGATCGGATTTGAACGGAAATTCGAGCTTTGAGGAAGAACTGAATGTTCCAAAGGGTCCGTTTTCAGCGATAGTAAGGAACGAATGGAGTTCCTTTTCGTGGACGAGGGTTCGATTTTTGGCGTTCGAGAGGTGCGATGCGATGAAGGCGGGGGTGGTGATAATCGACCGCCAAGATTTCGAAACGGTGAGGAAACGGACTAAGGATTTAACCGGCAGTTTGCAGAGGATTTCGAGCACGAGATCTGTGGGTAAATAATTCGACATGGTTTAGTGATGATGAAAGTTTGAACAAAACCCTAAATATATATAATATCAATGTGAAATTGTAAAAAAGGAAAACGTTGGTGGGTTGTTTATAAATTAGTATTTGGAAATCCTAATAGGTTTAGAATTTTGGTACCGTAGAAGAGCAGAAATTCTTACTCAAAAAAAAAAAAAAAAAAGAGTAGAAATTCTTTGTCACTTTCTTTTTTAAATTTAAAAATTTATTGGAAAATTACCAAAATTACTAAATAAAAAGATTCGAAAAACTTTTTTATTCAAATAGTCCTAAAAATTAAAAGGGGTTACAATTTGCACTTATGTACTATAAAATAGGGGTAAATGAGTTTTTTAGTCCTGTAAGTTTGCTAGTTGAGAGTTTTAGTCCACCATGTTTCAAAATCAGAATTTTAGTCCTGTAAGTTACAAAAGTTGAGAATGTTGGTTCTATGACCTGCTATAACAAGTAATTTTGATGATTGGTTGAATGAGTTGGCATTTAAAATATAAAAGTAAATAGATTAAAAATAAATTAGGTGATGTGGCTAATGAGTTGGACAGTTTTGGAGGGAAATAAAATATACCATCAAATTATTTTTTTATTTGATGAATGAAATAAGCATTTTCGTAGTAACTATTTTTTCATTAATATTTCATAGTTCTCAATTCATAAAAATAGTAGTTAACTATATTTTATTACTCGTTATGGATATTTGTTACTCTTAGTTTGATAATGTATTTTATGTTTGGAGGCTCCAGAATACTTTTTTGGTACATTTAATTTAATAGAGTTTTGAATATATTTTATTATTTTTTGATTAATTCGTAAATGTGTATTTGATTTCTTATACTAATTATGATTGTGCATGTTATTTAACTTTACAACAAAGTTTAATAAAAGATGTTTTTTTCGATTATATGTATTTGATTGTTGGTTCAATTTCATTGTAATCCACTAAGTATAGATTTGTAAAAAATTAAAATATTTAGATAAATATAAATTTAATTACTATTTTTATCAAATAAAAACTAAAAGTTATTAATTAAACATTAATTAGTCTTATTTCCTTCATATATAAAAATATAGTTGTAGATTTTATTCAATGGGTTTATTGTGGTTCTTTATTGCATATATAAAAAAAATTAAATATATAAATTAATAATTAATATGTTAAAATTTCGTCATTATTTGGGTGAATTTGACATTGAGGATTAAGTTTACCTCCAAAAACATCCAACTCATTAGCCACATCACCTAATTTATTTTTAATCTATTTATTTTTATATTTTAAATGCCAACTCATTCAACCAACCATCACATTACCTGTTATAGCAGGTCATATGACCAAAATTCTCAACTTTTATAACTTACAGGACTAAAATTCTGAATTTAAACATGGTGGACTAAAACTCTCAACTAGCAAACTTACGGGACTAAAAAACTCATTTTTCCTAAAATAGGTTATATTCACCCCATGTGGTATTAAAAACTGCAAAGGCCCCTTATTTTTGACAGTCAGTTGACAGTAATTTGACGATGTTAAATTTTACAGTGTAATTACTCTTATACCCTCTCCTTTTGTCTTTTACTTTCTCGAAAATTATCAGTCACCCACTACCAAAATAGGAAGTGGAGACGATGATTTCACTACCCCATCGATCCCCTCCTGTAGAAAGGATACACCATCGGCTATCGCCGCCATCGGTTCACCATCACCATCAATCCTCCTCCCTTCTATAACAGATATAAATGTGTAGGGTATCAAATTGCCAAGCTCCATTCACTATCTACTGAAATACAATATGTATTCCCCTTGTGCAGTATTGATTACTGCCAAGAAGAATAGATATTTTTATATATAGGTATATAAAAGAAAAGGGGGAAAAACAGGGTATGAAATAACTTGGAAAAACAAATAGATTGAGATTTCAGCTCAGTCTTCCAATTTCACACCAGAGATTCACACTTCCAAATATACACCACCAGAGTACCTCAAGGAGAACAGATCTCCTTTCTCTCAAACACACTCAAACCCTAAAATACCCAGAAAACCACGAAGGAAGAACAGATCAAGCACTCAAGCTAACCCACTCACCAAAAAAACCTTTTTTCTGAACTCACAAAGAAGAAAACGAAGGGATTTAGGTCTGACTAGGGTTTATCTCTGTCTTACCTTCTTCCAGCCTCCATGCCAACATATATAGGGACTGAAGTCAAAGAGAGCCGGTGAAGGCTGTACCGGAGGGTCAAAGTCAGCACTGTACCGTGCACTTTGACCTCCAGCCATAACTCAGTCAAGGCAGTACAAGGGAGGAAGAAGACAGAAGCAGGAGCGGCGGAGAAGAGAGGGTAAGAGTTAGGGTTTCAGAGTGAGAGAAACGAAGAGAGAGAAAATGCTATTTAAGTGAGGTACTGAACGGTCCAGATTAAGCCTGAGATCCAACGGATGGATCTGGCTACAAAATGGGCTGGGCTCACTTAATATAACTTGGGCTCAACTCATGGTGGTGTATATAAATAATGGCAATTGGGCTTTATGGCCCAGAACATATTTGGGCCAAAATCCAACAATTCTCCACCTTGGACCAAATGTGAATCATTAGTGAAAATTTACAAAAAAATTTTGGAAGTCATCATTGCTGTAATTTTTGACACACCAGTAAGAGCACACAGTTCATACAAGTATATCTAGTTGAATTCACTCAGAATACAACTTATCTGCACTTTAAAATAAATGCAGTAATGCAATCACACAGACAGCACAATCTTAGTCACATAGAAAAAGATTTAAACAGGCAATCACAAAGAAAGCATAAATACCAAGTCACACAGACTACAAACTAGCACACAGCAAGTCAAGGTTTGGACAGAATGTTCAAGTTTTGCAAACAAGAACAGAATTTTTCAGAAGGCAGACATTTAGTTCCCATGTCAGCTGGATTGAACTCAGATGGGATTTTTTCAAGGTCAATAATCCCTTTTTCAACCACATCCCTAATGAAATGGAACTTCACATCAATGTGTTTAGTTCTATCATGAAAAACAGGATTTTTACACAGTTGAATGCCAGATTGACTACCAGAAAATACTACCACTTTGGAATTAAGCATATCAACTTCCAACAACAGCCCTTTAAGCCAAATGGCTTCTTTAATAGCCTCAGTAGCAGCTATATATTCAGATTCAGTAGTAGACAGAGCAACAATGTGTTGGAGTTGAGATTTCCAACTAACACAAGCACCATTTAAGGTGAACACATAGGAGGTAGAAGATTTTCTATTGTCCCTATCATTGGCAAAGTTTGAATCCACATAACCACAGAGTTCAATCTCAGATTTACCTTTTGAAAACATCAAACCAGTTTTAACAGTACCTTTCAAATATCTAAGCAGCCATTTTAGAGCCTCCTAGTGAGGCAAACCTGGATTAGACATATATCTACTCAAGCAACTCACAGAATATGCAATGTCAGGCCTAGTACTAACCATCAAGTACATAACAGAGCCAATGGCATTGGCATATGGCACATTTTTCATTTCAGAAATTTCAGGCTCAGTCTTGGGAGACTGATCCTTACTTAGCAAAAAATGAGGAGCAAGAGGAACAGACACAGGTTTGGCAGACAACATAGAAAATTTTTCAAGGATTTTCTCAATATAGGAGGATTGATTCAGAAACAGAGTGCAGCCAGTCCTATCTCTAATTATGTCCATGCCAAGAATTCTTTTTGCATTACCAAGAAGTTTCATATCAAACTCATCACTAAGACATTTAATCACATGATTAACAGTTTGAATGCAAGGACTAGCAAGAAGCATGTCATCCACATAGATAAGCAAGAACACAGGAATTTTAGCAGATTCTTTAAAGTACAAGCAAGGATCATATGAACTCCTTTTAAATTTTAAAGACATCATGCATGCATCAAATTTCGTGTTCCATTGCCTAGGTGACTGTTTCAGTCCATACAAAGATTTCTTAAGAAGGCACACATAATCAGGATGTTTTTTATCACAAAAACCCTCAGGCTGGCACATATATATTTGCTCATTTAATTCCCCATGCAGAAAAGCAGTTTTCACATCCATTTGTTTTAATTCCCAGTTAAAGTGAGCAATTAAAGCAAGCATGATTCTAACAGTGGTGAATTTCACAACATGAGCAAATATTTCAGTGTAATCAATACCTTCCTTTTGGGTAAACCCCTTAGCCACTAGCCTAGCCTTATATCTAACAGAGTCAGATTCATGTTTGACCTTAAACAACCACTTACAGTCCACTAAAGAGCATGCAGGAGGCTTAGGTACAAGAATCCAAGTATGGTTAACATGTAAAGACTTCATTTCATCATTCATAGCATTTAACCATTCAACAGACTCATTAGAATTCAAAGCTTCCCTATAAGACTTAGGTTCATTACCATCTAGAGAATCAAACACATGAAACACATAAGAAGCAAGTTGATAATCATTCAAATGAGGAGGCCTAACAGTGTTTCTTCTATCTCTGTCCCTAGCAAGTTGATAATCACCAAGATCATTCACAGAGGGCACATCAAGATTAACACTTTGATCAAAAACAGTGTTTTCAGGCATCTCATTATTAACAACTTCATTATTAGTGTTTTCATTTTCAGTTTGAACAGGATTAACAGGTGGAATCTCCACCTCAGAGGAAGTGGTATCAGGTGAAACAATATTAGGAACAGATAAGCATGGAAATTCATTTTCATTAAACACAACATTCCTGCTAATCACAGTTTTAAAACCCTGATCACCATACAACCAACACCTATACCCCTTTACCCCTTCAGGGTATCCTAAGAAAACACATTTCACAGATCTGGGGTCAAGTTTATCAAGTTTTTGATGAACAAACACAGTACAGCCAAAAACTTTCAAATTTGATAAATCAACAGGTTTACCACACCATTAAGATTCAGGTAATTCCCCATTTAAGGGCACAGAAGGAGACCTATTTATCAAATAAGCAGCTGTAAGAACAGCTTCACCCCAAAAAGGTTTTTTCAAGCCAGAAGAATTTAGCATAGACCTAACTCTATCAAGTAAAGTTCTATTCATTCTTTCTGCAATACCATTTTGTTGAGGGTGTATACACAACATTTTTGTGTCTCTTAATGCCAGATTCAGAACACAAAGTATCAAATTCAGCATTACAGAATTCAGTTCCATTATCAGTTCT